CTCTTTTTCTTCCATGAGTTCTTCTTCTTTTCCTCTCTTCCTTTCTCTTCTCCCTTTCATTCCATTCTTCTTTTCTTTCTTTCTATCTTTTCTTAACGACACAGATATGTATACAAATATACTATATATGCATATAATATAATATAATGATATAATATCCCGATTGATATTTTTTTCTTCAGTATCAATTGACCAATTATCAATGTTTCGAAAATGTCCCCTCTCATGCTTATTAATATTGATCTGTCTCTTTTATTAATAATTAATCTTTTCACAGTGCATTGGTTAATCTATTGGTCCCAACTGCCAACAAATTTAGCATTTAAGAGAATATGGGATATTACACAAAGAATACTAGATGACATTCATATGAAAGAGTGTGTGATAGAAAAATTTACCATGTAGCTGATTCATTGGAACAGAAGAAAATTGATTCCTTGTTTCTAGATTTTTCACTAGAACTGGGAACCTTAGGCTTGTACTTTTCACCGGCGGAATGAAATCTTTTAGTAATTTGAGTACTAACCATACGTCGTGACATGTTCTTGTCATAATTTACAACATATCTTCATGGTTGTGCATAGAGTGCAAATATAAGATGTTATCAATGATGATTTCGGGTCCAACACAACCAGGGAACTACATAGATGTTTATTTAACTTCATTGATTGAAGATTTAAGACTTTTGTGGGAGGAAGGTGTTGATGTTGATAATGCATATACGTGTGATAACTTTAAGTTGTGTGCCATGTTATTTTGCACAATCAATGAATTTCTTGCATACGATAATTTGTCTGGGTACAGCGTCAAGGGACATAAATTGTGTCCTATATGTGAATTTGATACAAGCCACCACCAATTACCATATAGAAAAAGACTATTTATCTTGGGTATCATAAATTTTTAAGGCCTAATCATCCACACCGTAGATTGCGGAAGACTTTTAATTGAGAGCAAGAGTTTGGTTTCGTACCAAAGCCCTTAACCGGGAAGCAAGTTTATAAAAGACTACAATAGATTAACATTGTATTTGGGAAGAAACTAAAAGGTAAAAAATAAGGACATGTGGAGAAAAATAGCTGGAAAAAGAGATCGTTGTTCTTTAATCTTCCATATTGGTCTAGCCTTGACTTAAGACATTGTCTTGATGCGATGTAAAGAATCATCATCATTCGGAAGCTTCGATTGTTGAATAGTACATCATAGAAGAAGCTACTGAGTTTTGTAAAATGTATTTCTTAGAAGCTAACCATAGGAACTGCCAAGTCTCATTATGTGGGAAGATATGATGGTAGAGGTACTCAAGGTTAAAATGTTAAAATGTTTAGCCAAGATGTAGTTCTTCAAGCACATTTGTATATACTGAATAACCTTGATGAAGTTCAACCTTACTTGACCACTCACAAAAGTCTTGTAAAGGAAAAAATTTCCCTATATTAATGAAAAATGGTTGTTGAAAGAGTATAACAAAACTTTCACAAAAAAATGGTTGTTGACAGAGCATAACAAAACAATTAAATGAGCATTTTAACATGGTGTAGCGTTAATTTATATTGGACGGTATCCTCTGATTCTAGATGAACATCTTAACATTAGGAAGCATTAAAATGGTTTGGTAAAGAATCATACATCATAAGTGCATTGAAAATAAGATTTTGTGTGAAAAATGCATTGAAAAACAAGTTTTTGTGAAAACACCACAGGATAGGTCGACGCATACGCGTGTAAGCTGACCTATAGAAGTTTCCCTTTCAGCATAGGTCAACACATAATTATTATAGGTCGACCTCCATGCATCGATATTAAAGCATGTAGCTACTGTCCTTAAGCTGACTCACTTAGGTCACACAAGAACTTCATAGATCGACCTGATTGCTTTGATAGGTCGACATATTTCATTGATAAGTCAATATATTACTTTCATAGGTCAATGCACACGAAGCTTCTTTTCAAAAATTCACATTTTCCTCCATTGATTTTCATGTCATTTGCTTCACATCTCTCATACATATATCTCATACATGTATCTTTTTCTAGTAAAGTTCTAATGTAAAACCTATACGAAACCAAAATTTCAAAGCATACTCATTATCTCCGACCTCTCTTCTATGCATACACATAATTAAACTACAGATAATCATTTTTTTATTGGGTGACCATCTAGATTAGGTTTGATAATGTCCAATTATGTTGTTGTAGTGAGAATATTGGGTTGAGTTCTTTAAGTGTTTCAAATAAGAAAATCGAGCTGGGGTATTCCTTCAAGATCATTGATTATTAGAAGGTTTTGGAAAAGATTACGTAATTTGGATCCGATCAAGTAAAGGCCTTCAGACGAGGCGGTTCCTTGCATGGGAGTAGCGTGATACGGTGGATTGTGTTCATAAATCTTGGATTCAACAAGTGTGCGGTTGTAATTAATTTGACCGATTGAAAAACTTAAGACGAGAGATCTTGCAAGGTAGTAACAAGAACTGGTGAATTGAAGCAGCATTGTCAGTGACTTGATCAATTTTTGATCAAGGGTTTTTGGTGGTAGTAGATTCAACAACAAGCCATAGGGTTTGTAGGGTTAGATTTCTTCATCTCTCGTATATACATTTTTTGCAAAGTAAGGTTAATTGCAACTATCTCAATTTAAATTTAAATTAAGGAAAACATACCCATAGCGAGGCCGATTGAAGAATTTCCTAAACAAATCCTTCTCTCTCTCTCTCTCTCTCTCTCTCTCTCTCTCTCTAATTTTTGTGTTTACAAACTATTGATTTTGTTGTTGTTTGATCAATTCATTTGGAAATCATTTTTTGATTATATTTTGAATTAAGGTTTGTTGATATAATCATAATCACTTTGATTGTGATTGACTTTAATATCAACAAAATAAATTAAATTTCCAAACCTTATCGATTTCACACAAAGTATTTGATAAATTGCTTTTTGTGTTTTTCTTTAGTTTTTGATCATTGGAAATAAGCTCTACACATAGCTTAGAGTTTGATTGTGTTGAAATTAATTGTTGTTGAATAATTTGTGTTTGTTATCATCCAATTGTGTACTTTTTACGTATATCTGAGATTTTCAATAGTAGGTTCAGTTAGACGATTCGATTCGGGTTATTTCCATTGTGCCATAAAACTTTTGAAAATTATTTTTGCCAAAAGTTTGAATTTAAATTTTTGATCTATTCACCTCTTCTAGATCGAAGCCTATCGTCTAACCGTTTCTTTTAAGTTCATTTATTTATGTGCAAGTGGATTGACAGTAACACTGGTGTAGAAACCGATGAATTAGGATTCACACTGGTTGATCTTCGAAAGGAAACTTATAAGAATGAACCATTGATCATGGAAACCCAAGCAAAACATGTTTTTTATGTCACTGATCCTTTTAATATTAGATGGTCAATTGTACTTCAAAGAAAATATCTTCCTGATGAAAATCAAGATGTTGACTACCAGATCCCTTGTTTCTCAACACATGTACACCAATCATCTGAAGAAAATGATTCAGATGATGCGCATGATATTCGTCGCGATCATAAAGAGGGAATATGAGAAAACTAGTAAGTAAATATTTTATATCACTAACTAATTTATAATTATTCATTTTACTCTTTTTTATTCCTTTTAGTTAATATTTAATGTTGTTGTTAATTATCCTAATTAGTTTAAATTGTAGTTCAAATTATAGATGTTTAACGACCGGTGACAAATCTTAGCATAAAAGTTTTGGACAACCTACAAGACTTTCCATTTTGGTAATTGTTTTTGTGGGTTAATCAATTGATTTAGTTTCGTTGTAAAATTATAAGGTTTGTCCAATTTTGGGTTTGCATTTGTTGTAAACAATTGTTCTTCTGTGGTATGATTCTGTAATGCCGGTACAATGTTTCTAGTTTAGAAATCTGCAAAATATGGTTCTGTAGATACAAATGAAAAATATAAAAAATATATTTTTTTATCCCTCGATTTTAAATATATATGACGTAATAATATAGGTATATTGCCCTAGGTTTTAAATAAAACAAAGATGTTTGGTTGGGCGCACCATCCAACTTTATAAATAGTAAAAATGCAGATGCTGAGGTTCGAACTCTTGGTCAGATAACTTATCCTTCGGTGTTAATGGCATCTTTTCTTGTCACCCTTCATTATGTCGTCTCGTTAGCTGATTTTACACTTCTTTCGCGTGCGACATTAAAAGTATTATTTATAGTTGTGGAAATGCATTGCGAAAGCAGGTAATCCAATAGTGTAGAACACGATAATATGCCGACAAAAGTGAGAATTACTACTGATTTCTATTGCTTTCTACGAACAAAAATCTCATTATAATTACAAGTCAAGCTTGTATGAGTAAAATCATTGTCGTGAATCAAAGTCTTAGATTATTGTCTTTAATTCCGAAGAAAAACCAATTTTTAACTTCTCGCAAATTAATCTCAAAATAATGTCTTAGATAATCACAATATTATTAGAACCCGGACTTGAATTGATCTTTGAAAAACGATCATTTTTATCATTTCGATATACTCTTACATTTGTGACATGTCATTGGTGTGGTAGAACACGTAGATGGATCTATAAAATTAACACTGAAACATCCAATTGATTGAATAAGTTTAAAATGGGTAGAATAAAGTATGAGAAGAGTGTAATAGATGTACATGCATTTTGGTCAATTAGCTATTGAACGTTTTTTTATTAAACATTTGGCGGGCTCAAAACATATTATGAAATTTAAAATAAAATATAAAACAAATAAAAAATAAAAAACCTTACAATTTAACTCTATATACAAAGTGGTGTATAAAAATTTAAATTACAAATTTTTTACGTGAAATATCTTTCTTAGAATTCCACACATATAACCTGCAGCATTGATATATCTATTTACATAGTATTAATATAAATTTTCTAACACATATCATTGCATTTTCCACTCTATTAATTTGTATTGAAAGTCTGTTTAGGGTTTACAAATTGAAGTACTGAAAAGTATCAACTTTTCCATAGAGTCAAATCCATGGTAGTTTCCTCATCAACCCAATTGAACCCTCTCTGCAACGCTGGTGGTGTCATAACCAACCCTTCCGCCATACTATTTATCAAACCCGGCATATTGAAAACCTCCTCCTCATCCCAAAACAACCTTTCAGAATCTTCCCCCATGCAAACATTAATATCACAAACACAAGCTAAACACTCTGAACCATTCTCAACCGAAAATGGTTCAGAGCCCTCACACGACGAGAAATATTTTTCAGCCGCTTTCGTAGCGGCAAGCTGAATCGACCTAGAAGAAGTTTGTGAATCAAGACGAGGCAAAGAGGTAGCCGAGTTAGGAAAATTTAAGGAAGCAGCTTCACCTTGATAAGCTAAAGCTGCAACATCATAAGCTTTAGCTGCCATGTCAGGGTGAGAAAATGTTCCAAGCCAAACACGACGAGTTTTGTTGTTAGGTTGTCTTAGCTCACACACCCATTTTCCGTTTCTTTGTCTCACTCCTTTGTATATTGGATGTCGTGTCTCATGAAACTTCTTCCTTCCATCTTTTCTTTTATTCATATTTTTGTGCATAGTAATAAAATGTATGTATCAATCTTTTTATCGACTAACCCTATATATATTGATACCTTATTAAATAAATAAAACAACGTGTAATTGTGTACGTATGAACGGGATTAATTAAATAAAAAAAAGATTAGAGAAGTAGTTAGTGACTATAAATAAGTCACTTTTGTGTGACTGTGATGTATAGTGAGTGGGGAACGTGAGGAAACTTGTGTGAAATGTTGTGTTGTTGTGACACTATTGTGGCATGGGGCAAAGAAAGTGACAAAAGGTAGTGACTTATTAGAACAAGAATGGTGTGAAAAGCGTGTTTAAATTTATTTGTTTTACTAATCGCGTGTTTAAAATGTTGGAACCATACTATAAATGGAACACGTTAGTTTGTATTTTCTTATATTTTATGCTTCACGTGGGTGGGCCTGAAAACTTTTATCGAAAGTTAAGGCACGTGGTGGAAAAATAGAGTGAACATAGGGTTATGCAATTTAACCCATTATTGGTTCGCATTAAGAAAGGTTATCTACTAAATCAAAAAAAATTGGTCCGGCTGGTATGAGTTAAGAAAAAATATAATAAATATTAGATATTAGAGTTTGATCTATCTTATTCTTTTAAAATTGGTATGTATGGTGAGGTGTCTTATTGTACATAAATCTATATAAATCAATGTGAGATTTCAAATTTTGTTTTCAATATACACACTATAATATTAGATTTTGTGCATGAATATAAATGGTGGATGGTCTATTATTAGATCGCTAGGTTATGATATTATATTAGAATTAGAGTTTGAATTAACTTATTTCACATAGAATTTACTTTTAAATTGAGTGCTATCACTCTATATGAATTCGTTAAAGGTTCTATGTCTATACAATGGGAACTTTACTCCCTTTGCTTCTTAGTATAAGAAAAAATTTATTTTTTAGATTCATTGAAGAATTAGTATATTTTTAGATTCATTGAAGAATTAATATATCTAGACTATGTATAGTAATAGTTACAATTTTACAAAATTAATTGTTAGACTCTCCTTGAAGGTGTGAAAATCACAAGAAAGAGGGGGGGGGGGGGGGGGATTGGGTTTTAAAAACAAAAGCTTTTTACCAAATCAAAAATCCAGCAATCAAAAGAATGAATAATGAGAAGTGCACAAGGATTTTGATCCTGGTTCGTTTGAAACTCAAAGCTAATCCAATCCACCCGCTAAAGTGATTTCGCCTTATACACAAAGACTTAATCCACTATAATCAACTAATTACAAATGCAATAACAATACGTGGGGACTAACGAACCATAATGACAAACTGTCAAAGTCTTCTCAAGGATTATAACCTAACTGGTCCCTTAAGGAAATACAAACAACAAGTTTGAATAAAGATTGTGTTACAAGTTGCTTCTAAACAAGCAAATTTTACACAAATGAAATACACACTTAAAGAAAATAAACACAAAGTCGTAAGTTTTTCACGTAGAAACAGTGTTGTAAAATTGACTATTGGCTTTTTCTTCAAGTCTCCAAGTCTTCTTAAAAAGGAACTGTTGGAGGAAAAATAAGGAATACGAGAAATGCAACTGTCCACTAACGGAAGTGACAGGTGTCAAAAATAGTACAATCCTTTCGCCCAAAAATTCAGGTAGTGGAAGGAATATTTTCATTTTGTACCATGTACTATTTTGATCACGTATCCTTTTATCCCTATCTTCAAATTCACAAGCTTTTGGTAGAAAGTTGATGAAGCATGAAAAGAAGAAACACGTAGCTGGAATCAGAACCTTCAGAATCATCAATCAGAATCTTGACATCATCAGCGTCTGACTTGAGAGCTTCAGAAACTTCAGCTAGGAACATAAACTTCAGGAGCTTGCAATTCTTCAAAAGCATGATGGTTAAAGTCATATTCAGAAGCAGAAACAGAGAGAACGTTGCAGCAACAACATAGCGCCTTTCAGAAGCTTCTTAGGAGTGAATCAGCACATAAGCAAATATTATAACAAAAAGTTCAGAAACTGATGACGTTGCACATCATATTCTCATAATCAAAATTGGTTGTTAAAGCTACAGAATAACAAACCGTTTGGGTACCAAAATTGTTCTCACACAAATACTTCCTTGTTATCATAAAAACTTAAAGGTACAGATGCAGAACCAAATCATGTTCTAACAATCTCCCCCTTTTTTATGATGAGAAAACAATGTATTGTGATGATCAATCTGTATAGGGTAATCACATAAAGATACATCAGAAAGAAGTAAAAACTCCCCCTGAGATGTACATTCCAAAAAGATAAAATCAGAATGAAAGATCACTTTTCTAATTAACCTTTTTTGGAGAACCAGAATGATCTTTTATCAGAATATGGTTTTCTTCAGAAGTTATTTGAACTTATCCAAAACACTGGTTGTTAAAGTCAACACTTCCGATGAACTTCACTTTAGAAGCTTGGTTTGAAATCTTAGCCTGATTTAAAAATCTTATTGAAAGATCTTCAGATCCTGGTTAAGGCTTTAAAAAACTTAATGCCTGGTTCTGTTAAGTTTTGATTGGAAGTCTTTCTCAAACCTTGAAGTTAATTATTCAAACATAGAAAGTAAATTATTTCTTCATAAAGTAATCTTAAGTTCCGATCTGAAAAACATCAAGAGCTTCTGATTTGCATGACTTTCCTTGAAAACAACTAACAAAAGTATTTTCGAAGTAATTGTTAGCAAAAACAAAAAATGTTTGCGTTATGATTTATGAACATAGATATATCAAAATCAATACTTTTCTCCCCCTTTTTCTCATCGCTCAAAAATAAAAACTCTAAAAAGAAACAACAAGACAATAAAGAAAAGAAACATAACATATATTAAAAATTTCTTGATGGCACAAGAGTACAAGATGATCAAAATAGAAAAAAAAAACATAACAAGTGCATACAAATTTTGAAAACTACGAGTTTGGGTTTTGAGGTGGAAGTCTGTAAAGGATAAACTCAAACATCTAATCCCGCCTATCCAAGCGTTGTCTGATCATGACCTTCTCTTCCTTCAGCTCAACAAGATTCCTTAGAATCTCAGGAATCACCCCAGAAGACGAAGAAGTTCCAGCAACATGTTGATTATAAGAAACGTTACCCACAGGTTTCTGTCTTTTGAATTTCTTCTCCGCATCACGATATATACGACCAACATAGCAAGTACACACCTTGTACTTGTAAACCTCTTCACTAACCTCTTTCAAGTTTTCTTTCGGGACAATCCATACAATATCTCCAACAAGGAGAGAAATCAGGATGATAAAAGCATTATTCTTAGTCTTCTCAGCATGCATCCTAATAGATATCTTTATCATAGCGTTCTTCCTCATAAGAACCAATGAATCCCTGAGAATTCTAAATAGAAGAGTTGGAAGCGTTAGCTTGACACCATGTTCTAAAAAGAACAACATGAACTTGTGGGGAGTGTTGATACAGTCAGCTAGTTGATGCTAGATCTATAAAAAATGCTACCCAAAATAATATAGAACCATACCCTTAAGGTATACTTCAAATCCTTTGCAGTTGTACTCTTCACTTCTTCAATCACAGTTCCCTTCCTGAATAATGTTGAGGCTTTCATTGCATCTCTTTTAGGGTGAGTTTCAATGTTGAATATCCTTTTTCTTTACTATCATGAGCAATTAAATCAGGGATGGTCTTCTTTATAATCTCAAGTTTTCTGCCAAAGATGTAGGAGGTCATTTTTTCCTTTTCAACCATAGCATGAATCCAAAAAAAGTTTACGAGGACTGGGTAGACTAGACCCTTTAGCCCTTCAAAGAAAGCATTCCATCCTTGGAATTCGAGCATTCCAGTTAGGTCAAGATCGTTGTCTTTTAGATATTGGAAATCAACGATAGTCACACATAGCACATGAAGGTCATCAACTAGATAGTCGAGAGTGATGATTGGTTTTTTAGGAATGATGACAGAAGGAGCTTGTTGAGAAGATTCGGCTATTGTTGACGGTTGAAAGTTGAAGGTTGATGAAGAAAGATGAACTGTTGTAGAGAGCGATTTTACGTTTGAAAGAGAGAAAAGTGTGGGAGTAATGTGAGTGTTGTGTGAAATGTGAGTAAAGTAGGTTTATATAAACGTTTTAGAATTAAGTGCAATAATTACAATAATTGCAAAAAGTAAATGCGTAGACATAGAGGGAATGTGTAAAAATTTAACTTATTTTCAAGAAATTACTAAACCCAATGTGTCACATCATTAATATGCATGTTTGAAGAGTGGGACAACTGTAACCACTAAGAACCACATGTTATCAAAAGAAAAGATAACCATTAAATGTTGTAAATTTTTAGAATCCAGACGACAAATTGATAGGATTTGCTTCTGATCAGAACCTTTCTGATTTATGAGACTTCCTCACTTTAGAAAGCTCATGTTTCATAATCAAACAAACAATAACACAACTTCCGAATCTTAATCAAGAATTATGATAACCTAACATTCTGATGACATCTTTCATTTTGGACAAGGTTTCATAAATATATTTTTGAGAATGAAAACAAATTTATCTTCAGCAAAGGGTTTTGTAAAGATATCAAACTCATTCCCCAGAAAAAAACATGATTTCTCCCATCAAACTCATTTTAAATTGTGTTTGCATTAACTTAGCAAAATCCTTGCACAACGAAGCATTAGCAAAACCAAATATAATATCATCAACATAAATTTGTACAACTAGAATATCATTCTTAAAGGTTTTGCAAAAGAGTGTTGTGTCCACTTTCCCTTTGGGAAATTATTTTCCAAAAGGAAGTTACTTAGTCTTTCATACTAAGCTCTAGGAGCTTGTTTAAGACCGTATAACGACTTTTTAAGTTTGAAAACAAAATCTGGGTTTTCAGAACTCTAAAAGTCAGGGGGTTGGTGCGTATAGACTTCTTCAGAAATGTATCTATTTAAGAATGCAATCTTAACATCCATCTGATACAGAATGATGCTATGATTGACTGAAA